GAATTTGAGGGGTGTTGGTGAGACGTGTCACTGGCTGTCACTGGCAGAGATGCGGTGGGGATAACCGCAGGGAGGTACCGGCGCGTACAGGCGTACTTGGCCAATGCTGGAACTCTTAAATCTCCCCACCAGAACTACTGAATTTTAATTTTTTCCACGAGTCTTGATGTCTGTGCGTATGCAGCGACTGTATACGTTTATGTTTACGTGTCTGCGGCACAAAACCAAGCCAAAACTGAATAATGAACTGGCAAACTTCGTAACTGAGCGTGGTGCTCCCTCTGCTGACAGCTGCCGTTCAGCTCCACTTCAGGAACGATGCACTCATTTTCAGAAGTGGCTTCTACAGCAAATAAAGCTCCCCTGTTACATTAAAGCTTGACATTAACCTTTGTAGTAATTTCAGGCCAGTTGTGTGACGAGCTAGCATTGCAAGGGGTATTTTCAGGATACGTTTCAGTGTATTTTCAGGAGCTACTTTTTTTTAATACTCGTGAAAGGAGGTGATAACAGTAATGAATAATCCACTGCTGCATGCTTTTTCTTCTGTAGTCATATTGGCCTTTGTAAAGGGGATGTGAGATGCTACCAAATAAAATTTTCCACTTCTATACAGTTGAGTGTGGTTCTAACTCAGAAATCAAGGCAGACTGTTGGCTTCTGTGCCTGCAGAATTGAGCCTTGGGTAATGATGCAACAGACAAGGCAGAGTTTAGGCCTAGCTCAGACAGAGACCAAGGGAAGGTTCTGCTGTCTCAGCAATGCAGGTAACGCTGTTCGAGATGCCTTCAGGCGCCGGAGGCATCTGGGTGATGTTGGCAAGCGTGACACAGCATGTAGGGGAGGTCTTCAGCTTCTTGAGCAACAGGTGAAAGGCCATGGGGTAGGGCATCTCTGCCAGTTTTAAATGCCGTTGTTTAGGCAGCTGAGTCACACCTTATCTGTCCCTTGTTCTGTTGTTTAGTTCAGAGGTTATGAAAGGATGGAAAGTAGTCTTTCAACTTCAGTTTCTGTGCTAGTTTGCCAAATATTGGGCCATGACTTCTTGGCTTTTGCCTGGAGAATGTGGGAGTTTGCGAGGACCCGACTAAAAGCCTGACTAAACTCAGAGCTGCTTTCTCCTGAGATCAGATGGAGTCTTCCACTGCGCAGAGGTGTAGATGTTGTGGGAGAGGCCTGAGCCTTTCAGTTCGATATCCATTTCTTCTCGCTGGGTCTGTTCTGCAGAGGCTGCATGACAGTGGTCTGACTGGTAAGGGTGATGTACGTAGCCTCAATGCTTTTTCTTCTGAACCAGATTTGCATGGTTCCAAAGAGTAAACCCATCCCATACTCTTATTCCTTTCTGTAACTCCACCTCACCAAATCAAAGATAAGTCTCTCCTGTACTTTCCTGTGAAGTAGTCTGAAGCTGCTTGTCCACCTCCCCAGAAGATAAGAACCTGCACATGGGCGGTCTGTAAAGCTATTGGCCTTTGTTCACCTGTGTATGGCAAATAAAGTTGGGCAGGCCAAGCCTTTTGGACCAAACCTGTTAATTGGACAGCTTGGTCATGGTAAGATTGCTGTTGAACAAGCCTGCAAATCAGATGAATCCTGGTAAGGGTAACCCATTAGATGCACTTAGGGGAAAGTACTTGATGTCACCTTTTCATGCCTCTTTTCAAGAGACTTCCCCCCGCCCCGGGTACCTTTGCATTTATCTTTTGTTGGGTTTTTTTGTGTCTCACTGTGCTTTTTTTGTCTAAGCAGGTTTGAGATTTCTTGATCATTATTTAGCTAATGAAGGTTAAGGGGACCATTGCTCTCTGTGTGTTTAACCCTAGTTGGAGATTAAGTGAAGAATCCTCAATAAGAAAACTATTTTGAACTATTTTTCTTTAGAAGCAAGTGTGGTTTTTTCAACGAATGAACTGCGGACTGTGTGCAGGTCTGCCATCAAGAAGGGAAAATAATTATTTAAGAAAGTACCAAGACATTCAGCCAGGGAAGAGAGAAAAGCAGAGATGTAAAATATGCAAAAAGCCCTTAGCGAGCACTATTGCTTTGAAGGGAAATGGGAGACAGTTGCTAAGAAATCTGTAATAAACAATTTCACAGAAAGGAAGATTGGCTCTATAACCCACTAATCTTTCCAGCTTCTACGCTTTATGTTTCTGAAGTCACATGAAATAATTATTTCAGTAGTCTCCTCCTTCTCCTGAAACTGTACCCTGTTAGAGTTTTGTCGCTAGGGAGATTTCTTTCTTATATATTTTGCCTCTTTTGCATGTTAGCATGGTTATGCTTGAATTAGCTCTGAGTAAGAGACCCTAGGAACTGGCAAGAGTCTAGCGGTGGTAGGATGAATCTTGGTGCTGAGTAATTTATTAGGTTTTTTTTGTCAGGCTCAGATGTAAATGTGGTCTTTATGTGGTCAGGATATGTGTAAAAAATTGAGTAATGCTGTTTGGCCAGGAGGCTGGGGTTCAAACTGTTACAGCCATGCATGTGCCATCTCAAACTTGATAGCAGGCATCTGAAACTGTTTCAGGATAGAATTGTTGGAGCCTACCATGCCAGTAACTTGCTAGGTTTGCTTGGAATTGTTGTTGCCAATTAATTTTCTTTGACAAGTGTTTTAGTTCATTTGAGACTGCTGTAAAATTGGGTTTGGGAGTGGAAGAGCAAGGGTAGGAGGAAGAACCAACAAATGGTAAGGAGTGGCAAAAGACTGAGTCGTCTTTGGCAGCATTTATTCTGCTCCTTTTTGGAGGATTAGAATCTGTTATTTCCACTGGGTGCTTTTGTCATTCTGATTCCCTTCAAAGATTTTTCTGTTTCAGTGCAGTTAATAGTTGTGCATGTTGATGATGGTAGTGCTGCAGCAGTCACAGGGAATACATACTTGTAGCTCCTATGCAACACTCTAATATTTTTATAACAATTTTACTAGCATATTTGCATTTGTTTAAAAGAAAATATTTGCTAAGTCATTCAATACAAAGTTGCATCAAATACTAATATGATTTTTTTTTTACCTTTACAATTTTCCTGTGATACATTGTCATGTTATCATGATTGTGTCTGCAGTTCAGGTGTTGGGAAGCAGCTATGCAGCCTTGCAAGCCAGAAGGTATACAAGTGGATGACCGACTGTTGAAGCAGTTGACACATTTAAATAAGTAAATATAGTGGTGATTGGCATAGTTCTTTTTTTTTTCTTCTTTTATTTTCTTAAAAAAACATAAACAAAAACATTTTTTGAGGTGAAGCGAAGATGAGGTGGAAGGATTGTTATCAGACCAATGATAATAAAAGGATGGAAAAGGACAGACAACTGCAGTTGGATTGTCCACCTGTACTGTTAGGAGGATTTTTGGGAAAGAAGAGAAGAAACCCCTAAAATATGGGTAAGGGATTATGCTATAGGGAGAGAAAGAGAGAACGGCAAAGTCTAGCCATATCAACGTCTGGGAGCTTTGTGATAGTCTTAAGTGAGGTCTGGACTCTTCCCTTGGGTTTGAAGGAAGTGGGAAGGGAGAAAGGAAAAGAAAGTAGGCTCAGAGGGATGTAGGAAGGTACTGTATGATCTCAGTATAGCGGTAGACGAGAAGTGGCAAAAGATGCAACAAAATCTGGAGAAGGCCAGTGACCCTTAAGTAACTCAATGGTAGGTAAACGCTGTGTTGTCACTAAATTCAATAGTTAATATATGTACACAGTTTTCTGTTCCTTCTCATGAGAGGAATGTGACTTGCGTGAAGTTTGGCCTTGGGAGATGTGCTAAATGAGGTGTGGAGCATCCTCATTGCTAGTTCTTGGACATCTAAGTATTGAACACATTTTTCTACTCTCAAAAAAAGAAGTTTTTGCCAAATGTCATATTTACTTGAAAGCGGCAATTAGGAAAAAGGAGCTAAATGGGAACAGTTCATCTCCAATACAAGCATTTGGTGAGGCATGAATAACCTAGAAGCTAAGACGATACATGGCAGCTCCACATATATTTTTTTTCTCTTGTTCTGCCCTAGAGAGACTGTAGAAAGAAGGTGTCCTGGTTTCAGCACGGATAGAGTTAATTTCTTTTCTAGTAGCTGGTACAGTGTTTTGGATTTAGGATGAGAACAAAGTTGATAACACACCGATGTTTTAGTTGTTGCTAGGTAATGCTTACACTAGCCAAGGACTTTTTAGTTTTCCATGCTCTACCGACTGAGAAGGCTGGAGGTGCACAAGAATCGGGGAGGGGGCACAGCCAAACTGACCAAAGGGACATTCCATACCATGTGACGTCACGCTCAGTACATAAACTGGGGAAAGCTGGCCGGGGGGGGCCGCTGCTCGGGGACTGGCTGGGCATCGGTCAGTGGGTGGTGAGCAATTGTACTGTGCATCACTTGCTTTGTGTATTATTATTATTATCATATTATTATTATTATTTTATTTCAATTATTAAACTGTTTTTATCCCAACCCACGAGTTTTTCTCACTTGTGCTCTTCCAATTCTCTCCCCCATCCCACCGGGTGTGGGGGGGAGTGAGCGAGCGGCTGCGTGGTGCTTAGTTGCCGACTGAGATTAAACCACGACAGAAGGAAATTAACTGAAACTACTATGTGAAAACAGGAGGGGCAGGCAGGTTAAAAACTACAAATTGATGTAATGATATTGTGAATAAAGGAGTGAAGAGGAAGAGAAAAACTGGAAAATGAAATCTAGCATCATGGCAGTCTTTATAAAGCTTTAGTTTTGGGAGGGATCCTCTTAATAAAAGAGAGTTTAATAGCAAGGCTTCAGAGATGGGGAAAACCGTGCTATTGACTGAAGAAGAACGTACTTTGCAGACTCGCTTTTGTCAGCCCCAAATAATTAATAAAATCTGGAATTATAGAAAGTCCTGTTGCTATCCTAGAGCTTACATATGAGATGAGGAGGCTATCTCTCTAGAGCAGGCTGAAACATTTAATTTTTCAAGCAGGACACTTACTATGTGTTGTTATTTCTGCTTCCCAGATCACCAGCATGGAGGTTAAAACCAGCAAAGATCACCTGAAAGTCCATAAAATGAAGAAGAAGGTATTGAGGAAGCAGGTCAGAGCTCAGCATACATTGATGAGACATGAAGGCATTGAGTGCATCTCCCATGCCACACAGGTGACTGGCAGTTCTGATTTTGTTGGTAGTGTGAAAATGCTGCTTATCTGTGTTCTATTCTCACATATGCTTTGTCTAAAATGCAGTTCTCTTCCAAAATGCACTTCCTGAGATTGAGGGTTTTCTGTGCCTCTTTGATTTCAAAGCAGAACTGTACTTCAGCAGTTTAATGTCTGGAGAGACTTTGGCCTTCGGATAAGGTTTTTTTTTTTTTAATCTGAAACAGTAGTTTCTTGGGTTGGGGAGGGGGAGGAAGCATGGGAAATGTTACCTTGTTGAAGTAGATAAACTTTTCTTCTCTTTCTCTGTGTGATTTCTTCTCTAGCTTTTAGCTTTTGTATCTTTCTTTCCTCTATACTTCTCTATCAAGTATGATTTGTCTCATTTAAACTCCCTGTTAAAAACATGCCTACCTTAGAAATCTTTTCCACATTGTTTTCTTCACCTAAATTGATTTAGGCTGTGGTTCTGTGGGAGTTGAACTGGTTGACTGACTTACAGCTGTTGAAAAGGGGACAACTTTCTCTTCCCTTTCACAAAAGGGGACAAGATAGGAGGGAGTTCTGCTTTCTTATGATGCTTAATGAACTTTACCATAAGCCACTTTATTCCCTAACCTAACAGAAGACTACTCAGCTTTTTGATCTGTAGTTTTCTGCCACCGTAGAGAGTTACAGCAGATCAGAGGGTGACCTTGCAGATACTGGTGTAGCAAAAAGTAAGTGACAGGAACTTGCAGACAGAAAGGGAAGAAGTTAGAAAGAGAGTTTATAATTTCCCTCTGTCAGTTGTGGGGAGATGCTAATGGCTTGAAACACTGTGGAGCAGTATCATTTACTCTAGCCTTGTTCATCTTGATCCTGCCGATTCTCCCCATTCAAATATGGAAACATCAGTTAGATCTTTATACTTTTTTGTAACAAAACTGGGCTTAGTCTTCACTCAGATTTCACATTTAGCATATGCTAAAATGACCCAGCAATCTTGTATATATTGTAAGCTCTTTGGAGCAGGGACTGTGTTTTTCTAGTGTTGCTTGGAAATGGGTCTGTAGTCCGGGACTTGTTCCCCTCGACACTGCCCCAGATACCAAGTTATCCATCTAATCTGTCCAAAGAGTAATTCTGGGGTCCAGCAAGATCCTCACTGATGACAGAACATTTGAATAAGTGGTGTATGAAATAAAATCATAGTGCTAGTGATAAACTTGTGTCAAGAATACAGAAAGTGCTTTCAGGCTTTGTGCAAGAGTCTGATTATATCGAAATTGCTCAGTTAGGAGAACGTGATCAGTTGCTGTATGTGCTGCTGTTGTGTAGTGACGGTCTTTGTAGATGAAGTGCCCCCAGCCAGTGAAAGCACTGGTTTGAGTCTCTGCGTTTCCTCTACACACACGGGCTTCCCCATTAATAACATTCTAGAAAATAACAATAGTTAATAATGTGATCACTTTTGAAAAATGTGATAAGTAATGGACAGCCTGATGCAGTGCTAAGAACAAGAGTTAACAGAGCCATCGCAATAGGCCTAATTACAGCAGTACCTCAGGCGTGCTCACTATATAAATTTTTCTTTTTTTAATAATCCTTCTCTTCAGGTTTAAACCTAATTTTCTGTCTTTTAGAGAAGTAAAATGCTATCTGAAACAATTGAACACTTTACCAGCTGCCTTCAGAAAAGGTCATAGAACATTTATAGACTTTAAGGAAAAGATTGTCTGAAAGCTTTCTGGAAAGGTATTACGTGGAGTCAATCTGAATAAATTATTGCTGTCTGTTTGGAGTCACCGGAGCTCAATCAGAACTTCAAGACTGCATCCTCATTTGGCCTTAATAAGGGACTTAAACGTCTTTCAACCACCACGATTAGATTGAACATCCAGTTACGGCATATAGCTATTTAGATATCAAAAGAACTTGTTAATTTGTTTTGAAAAGCTCCATGTATTTTCGAAGGCTATTTCTTGAATAATAGTCCTTCGAAAAGTTCTGTTTTGTTGTTTCTTCTAATATTTGGCAAACCAGCAACAGTCCTCACAAACTGGATATTCCTTGATAATTTTGGACATAAATCACTATGAAAGCATAGAATTAAGCAATTAGGCATGGTGCATGAAGTAATCTGTGTTAACTAAGGATGGGACATAAATCCCTTTTGTTTATAAAAACAAGAGGGAGAATTTTCAGATAAGAGCGCTGGAGCAGAACTAGATCCTCTGTTTCTAGAGGCTCCTGCTTTTTTTTTGGTGAACCTGATGTATGGGGGGCATGAGGTGGGACTGGGAATATCAATCTCTCTATGCTTGGAGAGACTCCTTGGCAAAGATGAGAAAACCTTTCTTAAAAAAAAAAGAATCACAGCCTTCAAAGGTTTTTCTGTTTGTTTTTGTTAGTGGTAGCCGGTCTCTGGAAAAATTCCGTTTTTAGAAACCTCCAAAATTATGTGTGCCAGTGTCGCTGTTTGCCTGCAGTGCACTTGACGCACACATGCCGGTTTGAAGCTTAAGTGCTCTTGTAACAGTAACTACACATATTAATTGAGGAGGTATCTCTGATAGAGGTTGCAAGCTTTTCTGCCAGAATATGTGCTGAGCAGACAAAGGTTGCCTTAGCCTCATATACCAAGCTTGTTGAAATGTAAATATCTTGTGTGGAATACATAAAAGTACTCATCAGCTTACTTAATTTTTCTTTATAGAGCTGCTCTCTTGGTAGGGTGTTAGTTTTAAATGAACCAACACTAGTCACTAATTCTCCATTTTTTAAATTCCTCTTCAATTAGAGCCTGGTTATTGCCAATGCTGGTCTTGGTAATGGGATGAGTAGAAACCAACTGCTCAGGATAGTAGAAGAGTATGGATTGGTGGAAACACTCTTAATGCCACCGAACAAACCATATTCATTTGTGAAATATGGGACAACAGAAGAAGCCAAGAAAGCCTTCGATGCCCTTAATGGAAAAGAAGTAACACTGGAAGACTTTAGCCAAAACATTGTTCTATATATGAATTTTGTGGAAAAAGGTATAATTTTTCTGCTCTCCTATATATCCAACTTCCCTTTGCTTTTACTTCCTAGGTTGTAAATATAGCTAAAAGCACAGTAGTCTTTTTAAGTAGACAAAGAGAATGAAAGCCAGAATCTAAGATTCAGGACATGAAGTAATCTGTGCTCCTTGTATTTCATGATAGGATGCTCTAATTTGAACTCCTTTACTTGGAGGCAAAAGGAAAAAGGATTTAGGTAGTTTCCAGACCATTCAATACTGCATATGAAGGTTTTGTGATTAAGGAGCTAAACTGGGACCCAGGAGATCTCTGGGATAGTTCACTGGATTTCTTGTGTGACATTAGTCTTGCGATCTCTATCTCAACTCCAAGAAGGAAAGTAGGCACAATAAGATTTCTGGCCTTTTTTTTTCCCCTTCTCTCCAGGCTTTTTTTATGGCTGACTGTAAGCTATTTAGTACAAGAACTGTTGCTCTTTCTATGAGCTTTTATAGTGTCTAGTGAAAAGGGTTCCTGGTATTGGTCTGTACGTTCTGCCAGTTAATAGCTTTTTTTAAGCTATTAGGATAGCAAACTGAGTGTCCCTACATCACCAACATTTTGTGTTCACCTGGGTATTGCATTATACTCTTCCATAGTTGATTACAGATTGCTTCTCTGGACAGAGTAATCTGGTGATTTGGTAAATCATCAAAGTTCTAGAAAATTAAAATGAAATGCAGGTAGAATCCTGAAGTGATTGGGAAATTCTTTTTAGTGTTATTTTGACAGGAAAATCACAAGTGGTTTTGCGTTTGAACAGTGTGGAGTCTTGTTGGTCTTATGCAGTAGAATTTTTAGAGAGTGCTTTTCATGATGCAAAACTTGGGCCTTATCCTGTTTTGTCATGCCAAAAAGAGATCATTCGTTCACCAAATAAGACCCCAGTGAGGGCTCCATTGTATCATTAAAGTAGATATTTCTACAGCTATACTGTATTCTCAAACATAGTCAATATCCCTATACGGAACACGTTTTCATTTTCTCTAAACAGTGACAATATTCTCTTTTTCCATACGTCCTAGTTCTCTGGCAGAATGCTGTTCCTACAAGCTTGCCTCCAGGCCTAATGGTCATTGAAAAGATTATTTCTTCAGAGGAAGAAAGGAGGATGTTGGAAAGTATTGACTGGATAGGAGATGAAGATGCTCAAAATGGTGGGCAAAACCATAGAAATCCAGACCTTCCATACCCTTATGCTCTTTTTTTCCTACAGTTTCAGTTTTCAAGAAGTCTACGTCTTGGTAAATGTATTGTTTGAAATCCTTGTGTATTTGTTCTTAGTATTTTAGAAATGGGGTCTTAAATTGCAAGTGGTAAACTCCTGGGGGTAAGTGGTCTGAATTGATATTCTGGTATGGATTTACTTAAATAGTATTCCTGCATCCAGAAACAACTGAAGTCTTTTTTAGGTGTCTTATGCCAAGCACAGGACTGTTTTGTGAAGGTTACCCTTGTAATTTGATGTCCAGCTGAGGAGCTGTGTCTTCTCTTAAATCAAAAAAAAGTCAGAGAGACACACATTCTGGATGCTTTTGTGCTTTCACTTGAGCTCTGTGGAGTTAAATCTGTTAACAAAATAATTGTTCTTGGAATTCACTTCAATGTTTCTGTGTAAATTTTGTTCCTTGGAACAACATAAAGGGTTATATTGACCTTGGCTAACATGTAACTTCGTAATTTGTGGAAGTGAAGGATCCTGCTGTATCCACAGGATATTAATCAAGTGCAAATTCAGAGGTCAGGGCAAGAATAAAGATGCATTAAACATGGCTCAAGAAAATTGGTACTCTCTACTTCTTGCATGTACAAAAACACCATCAGTTTGACTTCAGACAGCAGTGAATGTGATGCCTGATGCAAATACAAAACGTAGTAAGGCAGAAGTGTGTGCCATGAAGAACAAGGGTCACACACATTGTTTCAACAGTGTTATTAAAGAATGTTTAGGTTTAACAGGTCAGATGGAATAGGGAAGCATAGCATAGCAAATTGTCTGTACTGTTTTATGTAGTCTAACCTTACTTTAGACTTGTGTGTTTTTACAGCCCAGAAGACTTTAAAGCATAGAAGAGTAAAGCATTTTGGATATGAGTTTTGCTATGATAACAACAATGTTGATAAAGACAAACCTTTACCTGGAGGTGAGAACTTCCCTTTTAAATCATACTTACTTCTCACTGATGTTTGAACCATTATATAAAGCCTTTAAGCCTCACTGAGATATGGATGTGAGATTCTAATTAAAGGAGAGGTTAGATTCTAATAGAAGAAGAGCCTTTACTATATCTTAAGCACACACTGAACAGTGCTTTTCAGTGGGATCCATTCCAAATTACTGTGAGTGCATGAAGCTTGTTTTCCAATCACTTGCAGCCAGGGGTTGCTGCCCTTTGTTAAGGTCCAGTCAAATAAGGCTTTTGGGATAGTAATTGTCATTCTTTTTTAGCTTTTGTTTCATAAAACGATTACGTGTTATAAATTAAGTATTCATTTGTTTGGGGGTTGTGACATATATTGCTGTATATATTTATCTTGACTAGCTTGAAGCTTGCTGGATGCACACCAAAATAAAATTTCCTTTGGAGTGAAAGCAATTTTGAAAAGGTTTGAATAACTCCTATTTGGAGTTGAGAGCTGTGAGTCAGAGCAAAGCGAGTGAGTCATCTTATAGTCTTAGATTTAAAAATAGTAAAATAGGGGAGTTAAATTCCTATAAAACTTGAAGGTGTTTAAAGTGATGCATGTGTACTGGGGTGGACGTAGCTTCCAACAGGAGGATTCTGGTTACACTGTGGTTTTAACAGTGACGCTATATAATCATAAAAGTATTGATATTTGAGCTGTTTTCTAGTCTCACACCTAGAATATTTTATGTGTGTGAAAAGCATAAACACTTCATTTGGGGAGAACAATTAAAAAATAAAAATTATTAAAGTGATGCATGTGTACTGGGGTGGACGTAGCTTCCAACAGGAGGATTCTGGTTACACTGTGGTTTTAACAGTGACGCTATATAATCATAAAAGTATTGATATTTGAGCTGTTTTCTAGTCTCACACCTAGAATATTTTATGTGTGTGAAAAGCATAAACACTTCATTTGGGGAGAACAATTAAAAAATAAAAATTAATAGATTAATGAAAGGGCTGTTACTAACATGTTTGTGGGTGTTACCTCCAACAGAATTTTACAGTGAAGTCCTCAGGTAAAATAGCAAACCAAAGATTCAGTGAAGGACTGTAACTCTCATTCCTGTTTCAAAACCAGTTTAACTTCAGCAGATTTTTTTTGGTGATATTTAATCTAATTCAGTAACAGATTTTTAGGGAGTAAATTTTTTGAGGGAGCTCTCTACACAACTTCTGACTTTCTGCATAATAATTTTGCTTCTTGACTGCAAGTTTTTTACTGTAGTTGGTGAAAAATTTGCCTCTGATTTGATATGCTTTTATTTATGTGCAATATAGTGCAGTTTGCATTTGTAAGGAGTAGACCTGATCTGCTTCTGAATGCAGAGGCTTTGGAGGAATGGCCTTTCTAACTGTGAGATATTAAAAATATACTGGACTTGCAGACCAGGCCCTCAATTTTAATGTGTGCGTTACAGCAAATGCAGAGTGATCATTATTAAAGATGGACTTATGTATCGATGAAGCTGTTTCTATGTATTTTGTCCAGTTATTATATTTATTGTAAAAAGAAAGGATAAAAATGTAAAGAGCTATCCTGTTTTGCTTACGGTTTTGTTTCTATAACTAGGTCTTCCTGAAATTTGCGACCTATTCTTGGAGGAGTGCTTGAAGCAGGGATATATCAAACATAAACCTGATCAACTGACTGTAAATCAGTATGAACCTGGACAAGGTAAGTTTATTTGTCCTTCAAAAATTTTGAGCTTTTTACCTTACATTGTGATTTAACCCTGGTAGGCAACTAAGCACCACACAGCCACTTGCTCACTCCCCCTCACTGAGATAGGGGAGAGAATTGGAAGGATAAAAGTGAGAAAACTCATGGGTTGAGCTAAAGACAGTTTAACAAGTTAAAAAAAAAAAAGAAAAAAACAAACCCCAAAGAAAAACAAGTGATGCAAAAAGCCCCCAAACAATTGCTCACTACCAGCCGACCAATGCCCAGCCAGTCGCTGAGCAATGGCATCCCCAGTAAACCTCACCCCTAGTTTTATTGCTGAGCATGATGTCATATGGTATGGAATATCCCTTTGGTCAGCTAGGGTCAATTGTCCCAGCTGTGTCCCCTCCCAACTTCTTGTGTACCCCTGGCCGACTTGCTGGCAGGGAAGCATGACAACCAGAAAGGACCTTGATGCTGTGTAAGCACTGTTCAGCAATAACTAAAACATCCCTGTGTTCTCAACACTGTTTTCATCACAAATCTAAAACGTAACACCATACAAGCTACTGTGAAGAAAATTAACTTTATCCCAGCCAAACCAGTATAACTTAACTGAAAATCAGAAGGGAATAGCATCTAATCCAAGAGGAAGCAGTCAATGACCTGCTATGCCACCTGGACGCTCACAAGTCTATGGGGCCGGATAGGATCCACCCGAGAGTGCTGAGGGACCTGGCGGAGGTGCTCGC